CATCAAAGAGCTTCATTAAAGATGTATCAGGAGATGCTCTTTTAGGTTCAAATGGTCATGAGAATCCAATGCATTTGGTGGAAACACAAAGTCAAATAGAGGTTCAAACGAATTTTTAACAAAGTAGTCAACTATATCTTCATCAATCAAATAAAGCACATTATACACATTCTCATGTTTATTTTCAACATGGGGGCTTTCTATCTCAAGCAAGAGCTTATCCACATTAAGTTTATCCCCTAAATCACTTAGCTCAAGAAGAGGTCTAGGTTCATCAAGCATCAAAAAATCATATTCAAGATCAAATGAAGCACAAAGATAGTTCTTGTCAAAACAAACTTCAAGATGATCTCTAGCAAGCTTTTTTATTCTCAAGTCATATAGAACCCTAGTTTCACATATCAGATCATGACATTCATTGATGAGCACATGCAAATTCAAATCAGAGGTAATATATTCAACACATGGAAAGAAATTATCCTCAAAATCATGAAGTTCAAAAGTAAAATCGCATATACCTTCTAATTGGGTTGGTGGAACCCAATAAAATACCTCTTTGAGCTCATGGGCAATCCTTATCTCAAGGCCTCTGAGCTCTATCCCTCTAGTGTTGCCCTATGTTGCATAAGATTTAACCTCAGCATCGCTGCCATGTCAGTCCTTGTCAACATTGGGTTTTCTTTGCAAAGCTCATCCACCTTCAAACTCTGTTCTGGTATGAGTACACTTTCATCAAAGCGTGGCTCCACATATGGTTCATCTTCGATGTCATCTTCAAATGTGTCTTTCTTTTCTTGTGGCCAATAAAAGTAGCTTGCAGCCATTACTACAAAAAAAAAAGCTAGAATAAAAGGTTAGTAACTAAACAAAGCAAAACAAAGAATAAGAAAATAAAGCTTAATCTCAAGAAAATTTGAAGTCCTAGTGATAAATCTACTTAGTTCCCCGGCAACGGTGCCAAATTTGATGCAAGACTTTTCAAGGGTCCAAGTTCAAATTAATGTATTATAAAAGATTGTCGAACCCACAGAGAACTGGAAACTTATAGCACTAAGAATACACAAGCTTTCTTAAGCTAAGCAAACAAGAAGATGGATTATTTGTAACAAGATAAGATCCTAAAAATATAAACAAAGGTGATCTCAAATCCAATCAAGAAATAAATGCAATAACAACTTTCAATCAAATGATAAGGTAGAACCCATGTGATTAAGACAATTGATCTAAAGAAATTAAGGTTAATCAAAATGCATCCTTAAGTCTAAACAACTTAAATAAGCAAGTTTTAGGTTTAGACAAATGCTCATTTGCTTAACTTAATTAAACACAAATGGTCATTGGTTTAATTAATTCAAGCAATCATTAAGATTAGGTTTAATAACTATCTAAGACTTCTTAGATACAAAGGGCATTAACTAAGAGTCTTAGAGCTAAGTAAAGTTGGTTCAGTCATTTCAACATACACCTTGTGAGCAGGAAACGACTAAGGTTCAATCCTAGAGTGATCAAGTCTAGAATAACATTAAACACACTCTACTAGTAAGGAAACACTTAGATCTACACTTCATCACCTTCTTTTTGCCTTCTTGGGATAGGCTTGTGTCTCTTCATCATTGCCATCACTCTCATCCCTAGCAGCTGAAGCAACACTCTTTCCCTCTCTCTTCTCCTACTCCTTTGTTTTCCTGGAAAGAGCTGGTACTTCTTCATCATAATCACCACTCTCTGCCCTAGAAGATGATGCTACTTTCTTTCCCTCTCTCTTCTTTTGTTCCCTTGCTTTCTTCTCAGCCAAAATTTTCTGCCTAGAAGATTTTGCTGGCTGGGTTGGCATAGGAGCTAGTGATCTTCCTCTTAGTTTAGTCTCCCTTCTTGCTTTTCTTTTTTTCTCAGCTTCAGTCTGTGCCTTGCCTTTTTGTACCATTTATACCTGAAAATGTAAACCTTGGCAGATAATTAACAACTGAAAAAGAAAAACAAATGATGAGTAACTTGAATTACAGTAGAGAGAACAATCCACATCACATTACAAGCATCAGTGCTAGATTAGCTTCATAAGATTGAGAGAGAGAGAGAGAGAGAGAGAGAGAGAGAGAGAGAGAGAGAGAGATAACAACAACCGAATCGAAGTGTATCGGAAATAGTTACCTCGATCTTGAACAAAAAAATCACCTCTGATCTTGCAATCCATGATGGGGACTACACTATGAGCTTAGTTAAGACTCTTTGCTCTCTTCTCAAATCTCACTATTTTCTTTGTGCTTCATCTTTTCGAACTTCCATTGACTTCTGCAACTTCTCTCTCTTATGCAACTCGCAGGTTGAAGACGACGATTTTTCTTTCACTAGCGATTATAACAACTTATCTTCATACAGTAGAAACTCTGTAAATTGGTGATTTAGAAAATTTGACCTTTTAATTTTCAAACTTGGCTTTTTATTTCAGATGAGTGTGAGATTAATTAAATTAATCAGGTATTTTCTTGGTTTAATTTGGGTTTTGATTGGTGTCTAATGGTTTGGCATGTGGTACATAGTAAACCGAAATTAATTATGGTCCAGGTGTAATAGATTTCAAACTTTTAATTCATAGGTAGATATATATGATTTGAAATTTGAATCTAATGTAAAAACTGGTATTTAACATTCATTTGATGGATATATAGAATGATGTTTTAACTTTATGTCAACGACAGTTCTGAAAAAATAGATCGTCAACCCGATTGTTTGCCACCATGAGATTACAGGGGAGATAGTAGGTCTAACTTCCATGGACATACATGTGGCCAGCAGATTGTTATTCGTAGATGTATTCTCCACTGACAATTTGTTCAAATAACACAAAAGAAAGAAGATATCAATGGTAGAGTGTAATTTTCTTTTGTATGTTATTACTTTGTCTTTGCATGGATATATATATTTCAAAATTATTGATCTTTTCTCAAATACAAAGGAAGAAAGGTTAGCTGCTGGTGGGATCATTGGTCTCATTCTATGTATCCATCAAATGTGGCATTCTGTCTTTGGCAAGCAAGGGGCATGTGTTATTATATTACAGAAAGTTTAGGGATTACTTGAGTGGAAAGTTAAGTCTGTGGCATTCTTTCCTCGGCATTAGCAAGCAAGGGGCACGTGTTATAGTTTTACTATCCATCAAATAATTAGTTATAGATGTATTATTCTTGCATAAGTCATTAGGTGTTCCTCGCAGTGGCAGCAAATCTCTTCAAGGATCTGAAACAAACTTGTATGAACCTCTCATATTCAAACTTTATGTTTTTGAGTTTTAACAGTAAACTTTAGCAAAAAAAACTTGTTGTCCCTCCCAAAGTAGGAGACGTCTGCATCCTATATGACAATGGCTATGTTTTTATTTCCAACAAAGAAGGAAATTAATACCGTTTAGAAAAAGAATGTTAAAAGGAAAGTTTTGTAAAGTTATCAAGTCAGTCCTATTAAATAGTGAAAATCAAGTATAGTTAAAAAAAATAGTGAAAATCTAGTATGCAACTAAGAAGAGAGCCAATTTATAATATTAAGTCATAATGAAATAAATTAAAGATTCTACAAGATCATCTACTATTATTAAAAGGGCTTATTTAAGCCTCCTCATGCTGCCACGTCAGCAAAAATAATACTGATTCGTGTTGGGCTTTTCGTTTTGGGCTTGAAATTATAACTTTGTGTTTGATTTTCGACGGCCCATTCGGCCCAGATCCTGATCATGAAGTGTACCATCTTAAGTCATTCTCGGCGTACCTCCTTTCTTCTACGCTCTTTTGTGACTTTGGCGATTCGGTTTCTCAACCGAAGTCGATTCATCAACACCAATCCTTCACTCCATCACTCCATCCCCCTTTAATGGCTTCGTTTTGGATTCTTACCGATTCTATTTATATGCTTTTCTCTTTCCAATTTTCCCACACTCTCAATGTAACGCATCTTCTCTTCCTCTTCAAAGTTCAAACTATATTAGGGTTTCAATCGGTTCAGGCTCCTCTGAGTTTGGTGTAGCTAGAAGGAGCATCTTAACCAAAGGAAGCCAAAGGAGAGAAGGAGAGCGAAGAGATTAGGAAGGAAAGGTAGAGTCTTGGTTTCATGGACCATGTTGATTGAGACAGAAACTGTTATTCAGAAACAGGTTTTCGCTATTTTGTCTCAATTTCATCTGAGAAAGTAATGATTTTTAATTTTAAAAAATTAAAAAAACGTTTTTTTGTGTGTGTGTGTGTGAAGGAACATGTGATAAAGCCAGTGTGGAGAACGTTTGCGAGTAGTGTAAGTTGAATATGGAAAGGAGTAGGAGCTGTGTTCTCTCCCATAACTGCAGAGATGGAGAAGAGATTGGGAAGAAGAACGAGAGTCTTTACGATTGCTATACTTTTTTACGGATCGAAGCTTTGCCATCACGGATGGAAGTTGGAAGTTCGTTGTAGATTGTTCTTCCTTCTCTTCTGGTATGTATCTCTTGCAATCCAATTTCTCTTTGCTTTTTTTTTTTGAAAAGTGCTTCTTTCTCTGTTGGGAATGTGAAATTGGTGACAACGTTTCCAGCTCTAGGTCATTTCGCTAAATATATTGGATCGCTAAGATCACAAAGTTTCTGACACAAGGGGTCGAGTAACATGCTGCGGTATTGGATTTTGTTGGAGCGCCTGGACACTGCACCAAAAATATTGTGAGCTCTTTTATCTAATATACCCAAATTCATCACAGAGTACATTGTGTACAAAGTTGAGCACCTAGCTCACCGCATACATATTTGATTCATATGTTGGACAGTAGACTCCCGAGATGTGGGAGCCTTGGCCCAAACTCTACATCAAAGAGGTATAGTTTTAAGTTCGTTTCATATAAGAGTACTTGGAAAAGATTCTCTTTTGGTGGTTTAACGTTTCCTTATTCTCATTTGGGCTTCCCAGATCATTCAGACTGTCAAGAGAAGATGTTTCAGCCACGTCTATTGTTTTTTACATAAATGGAAACGGGAGACTGTAGATATGGTTGTGGAAAGAGGCGATTGGGGAGCAGTGCTAAGAGTCCATGGAAATGTTGATCCCCTCTAATATATTATCTATGCTTCGTGCTTTAACTGAGGAGACTGATAGTTGAGTGGTTTACTTTGTTGAGCTGAAGGTAATAATGCTTTATATTTAATTCAACAAATAGAAGAGAGCTATAAAGGAGACAGATTTTGTTGTTGAAGGTACAATTTAAATTTCAAGTATTGATTGATGCTGTTGATGTTCTTCTCTTGTGGTAGTATCGACAAGTAGTAGCTATTTTCTTAGCTTTCATGGTCTCTTTAATAAGTGCTTTGATTCTTTTGCATCGTCCTCTATTAGTTTGGTAAAGTTTGTATCATGATTCTTGAAATGGAAAATGCGAACAATTCTCGAATATTGCTCTGTGAAGCTGATAACACTGATGTTTGCAGGGTATTAGAGAGTCTTTGATTGATTAGTTTTGTTCTGTGACTACAGTAGTTGAGCATTTGTGCTCTCTTTCCAAGTGGGTTTAAGTGACAAAATGTGTACTGGCATTTGCCCGCTTCTAAAGGTCTGTTCATTGCTTATTCTTTACGTTTTTTTTCAGGTCTGAGGCTCTCTCATATCAGACCCTCTCAAAGCTCAGGTCCCAGGTCGTTTGCCAGCTCTAAAGGTATGATGTTTGATAGGTTTCTTTACTCTCTTTAGTAAGGTTTTCTTCCTGAGTTACTTCACTTTAGCATGCATTAGTTTGTAATCTTCTATGTGACTAGGCGGCTTTTTATCATTACTGCTGCAACAACTCTCGCTCTTTAGTTGTTAATTTAATGGTCTTAAGATCATTGACTGGTTTTGTGTTCTGATGTGTCTTTAAATTCGAATAGGTCGTTTACATCTTTACTTATTATAATGGTCTTAAGATCTTTGATTGTCACTCTCTTTTTGATGCTTAGGTTTGTGTAAAGCCGTTGTTCCACTCTATGCGCAGACCCTCTCAACTTTGATGTTTCCATGTCTTTTTTTATTGAGTTCTGTTTTTATGAGCTTTATAAAACTTTGATTGAGCTGATAATGGTATGTTATTTGTTCTTACTTGTCTGCCGTGTCACTGTCTTTTTGCAGGTGTCATATCAAACCCTCTCAATACACTTGAAGATAGTGTATGTGCAGGACTTAGGAGAGTCACGCAGAGGAAGACTAAAACTTTTAAAGAGTTCTATTCCAACTTTTAAATAGTTCTATTCCTTGGGAAGGAAGTTCGAACAAGTCCAGTTATGGACGACGGTTTTATGCATTGAGCTCGTGAGAATTTTATGATTGTTAGTAGAAAACGTTGGAAATATGAATGATTGCTTTGTAGTTGTTGTATTTTGATACATCTTTTAGCGTTTTGTTTGTGCTAAATTCTCATCATATATAACCTTTTAAAAACACCAGATTATAACTTTAAAATAAATAACCAAAGTTAAAAACCAACATAAAAGTAAAGACTAATCTCTTTAGGATGAGGCCGGAATTCTTAATTTAGAGAGTCGTTATTGGCTTATGATTAACATATAAAGTTTTGGTGATGGTTTGTTTAAAAAATTATTCTTAAAACTGGTTTGGCCTGTTATAATTTTTATTTATAATGTATTTTCATGAATTAGTTTGTAAAACACTATTATCTTTAGTTTGGATTGATTTTTTATTCAATTTAATTTCTATTATGAAAGTTTTCAATATGGCAATACAACCCAATCATTATAAAGTAAAATAAAGTTTAAAATCAGTTTTTTTTTTATCAAAATTTAAATCAGTTTTAAATTTACAATTTCTTATAGAAAACCTAAATTAATAAGATAAATGTATTTTAGTTAACTTTTACTCATCTTACTTATCATTCTATATATGATTTCCTTTAATAAAAAAATCGCAAATTGTGAATTAAATTATGTTAAATATTTTAGACACAAGGCAATTAATAAATACAAATGATTTTTTTTTTACAATGTAATAGTTTAAAATCGATTGTAATATATATAACAATATTATATTCAAATGTTATTGTAAACTTTTAAATTTAACTAAAACTTATACGAATACCCCGGGCGTAGCCCGGAAAAAGCCTCTAGTAATTATAAAAGAACAAATTGGGCTAAAATAAATTCAGCCAAAATTATTATTATAATAATAAAAACCTAGTATAATTGGAAGGAAAGAAAAAACAAGGCAGGTGGAGCGGTAAGCATCTACATCTTTGCACAATCTGCTGGCTTAAATGAGATCGTCTTAGAAACGGTGTCGTATCCAACAAGGAAGTTCATCTGAGATAAATTTCCGTAAATGGCCAAGTCGTCGTTCCCACGGAAGGCGAAGCAAACCGAATCCTCAGAGAATTGTACAAAGGCATTGGAGGAGTCCAACTTCACATCTGCTCCATCGAAATGCATAGTAATGACTGGGACTTCCAGCTTAGCGGTTGCGCTGTAACACAGACTCAGAACGCCTTGTGGGTCGTTTACCCTCTCAGCATCGATTGAGGACGCAACCGCATCTTCGAGTTCGGAGTAAAATGCGGTCGGTACCATGGTCAGAGTTGTGCCAGAGTCGATGATGATGTTCCCCTTGCCGCTGCTGTTTCCAAAAGAATCCGATACTTCAGGGTATTTGATATTCTTGCTTCCCACGCTAATGGATTCTAGGGTTAGGTAATAGAAGGTCGCTTGCGTTTTTGTGATCAATGGAGTTGAGACAGCTCCACTTCCCGACACAACCGCATTGGTTCCGAAGTGGATCTTGCTCGTTGTCTCGTTTGCTGAATATAGAGGGACCAAGCAGTATGAGAATTTGCCATCGATTGACTCGCCGAGTTGCGAAATGAGCGAAACCGAACCGCCACCAAGTCCAATGATTCCAGATGCCTTCTTGCTAAATGTTCCAGCGTTATCGTGACCACATCCAATGACGATATTTTTGAGCTGCACGGGGCGGTTATCAGTCGAGCCAAGCGTTACGGTGTCGGCGGCAACGTTACCCTTTGTGTAAGACTTATCCCCGTAAGACATAGTGTAAGAGCAAGTGTTGTCTTCTGTCGAACAAGTGGCTTGATTTTCAAGGGCAGTACATTGTCTTGAGGAGCAAGAAACGTCTTTGTAGGTTGAAGACGCTTTAGGGTCAAAGAGAGGATATTCCTGAGTGTAACAGTTATCGCATGGCTCGCATTGGGTCCATATGAGATCGCTTCCCGTGTCAGCTATAGCCATGATTGGGAGCTGAGGAGTCCCCAGCGATATATTCATGAGATATTCACCTGCATCTGATGTAATCTCAGCTTGAGGTGAGTTAACTGATGCATCTTTGCCGTTGAAATGGACAACACGGTTTAATGATCGGTGAACAGCATTTCGTAGACGCTGAACAGAGGTTTCTAACGGATTGTAGAAAGGTGATTTAGGAGAGTCACGGTGGATCAGATCCGCGCTGAAGCCAAGTTTTGTATGAGCGTTTGCGTTTGAGAGTAAAGGTGAAGGGAGTAAAGATAGAGCCAAGAGAAGTGAAGAGAATAGAGAGGACATTGTCTTTGTATTTGAAGTGAAAGATAATTTTTTTTTTTAATCTTTTGGCTATCTAATGTGTTGGTATTTATATCGTTCGTGAGATAGTGGTAAATTAATGCTATTGCATGCTGATATTTTGAATTTTCTTTTTAATAAGTAATCTTACCAAATTTATTTCCCGTTTGTGATATTCGAGAATCTGATAAATCGTAAAGGAATATTTCTCATTGATTTTATTTTCGCATTTGTGACTTATTATACAATAGAGGATATTTTCTCATTTTAATGCACATATTTTATTTTATTTTGTGTTATCTTTCATTCATTACCAAGAGTGTACCATTCATTTCTCATATTGACTTGTTTCTTGCATCTCTATTCTGTGTTTTCATATGCTAGATCATTTAACAAATCTAGACGGAAATCTTCATCATTAAGCTTATGCGGGAATAAAAATCGGTAAAATTAGCATTGGCATGCTTTGATCACATGTAGTGCATAAAAACAAAGGCTGGATACTGTTTTTGTGTTGACACTGTTTTTGTTGACCTAGACGGAGAACACGGAAAGCTACCACCTATTTGCTTTTTATGTTGATACTGTTATTGTTATTTTACATCATTAAGCTTTTATATATACATATTTCATCAGAGCTGACTTTTCTTTTGGTTTATATGCAGATGCGATTTCACCACGATACATGTAAATTTTTTTATCTTTCTATATGATTTGATTAATCGTAGATATATTTGAAATCTAATTCTTACTTTTTTTTTAAATATGTTCATAGGTATTATATTTCTATTTAATGATTGTTTGTTAGAGCTTAGAAGGAGAAGAATGCTTTCATATGTATTTTTCTATTGGCTTTTTAATTTACAATTTTAGTTTATATGCGTAGACCAACGATTATGACGTTTCCTCCTGTGGATCCATATGTACTTAAATCTCTCTTCACATTCATGTTATTCAGAGACATGAACATTACAAATGATCATATCATCCAAAACACGTAAACTACAATGTAAGTTTCATGCTTTGTTACTTTCTCTATGTTTTTCAAATAATTATTTGCTTATACACTAAAGAAAAAAAATCTTTATAATCAACATTTTATTATAAAAGTTAGTATAACTTTTTATACATTTTATCAACTTTGTACTCAAATATGATTTTATACAATTTATCATATTATAAAATGTATTATAAAGGTTGGAACTTAATTAATTGATGAACGACGTTTACAACTTATATAGCATGTACACGAGCTAACTAGGTATAAAGAAGTTACAGTAATTACAAGATAGTCCTCTCATTATTTATCTTTTACACGCCCCCGCAAGACGGAGGCAGGTGTGTGACTCCGATCTTGGAAGAAAGGTCAGCAAACCGAGGTCTTGGCAGAGGCTTTGTGAGGGCGTCAGCTAGTTGATCTTTGGTGGAGATGTGAGTGACTCTTAGGGCTCCAGCTTGAACATTATTCCGAATGAAATGATAATCAAGCGCTATGTGTTTCATGCGGGAATGGAAAATCGGGTTAGCTGAGAGATAAGTTGCCCCGACGTTGTCACAGTAGACAACAGGTGCAGCAGGTAGAGGTATGCCGAGATCAGTGAAGAGCGAGCAGATCCATGTGAGTTCAGAGGCAGTATTAGCGACGGCTCGGTACTCAACTTCCGTAGATGATCGTGCTACACCTCGTTGCTTTTTGGAGGATCACGAGATTGGGTTGGATCCGATGTAAACAACGTAGGCGGTAGTGGAGATATAATCATCAGTATCGCCAGCCCAGTCCGCATCAGAGTATGCATGAAGGTTCAAGGGAGTACCTTTGCGAATCAGAATACCATGTGTTGGTGTTCCGGCCAAGTAGCGAAGAACACGCTTAACAGCTTGCCAATACAAGTCTGTGGGTTTATGCATAAATTGCGAGAGTCGGTTGACTGCAAAGGCAAGGTCGGGTCGCGTGAGGGAAAGGTATTGGAGACTTTCGACAACCCGACGATACTCTGTGGGTTTTTGCAGGGCGGAGCCCGAGTTAAGAGAGAGCTTTGGCGTTGGAGACATCCGGGTTCCCACTGGTTTCGCATGACGCATGTTTGTCTTGTCCAGCAAGTCTAATATGTATTTCTTCTGCATGAGATGAAGTCCAGACTTGCTTTTAGTGGCTTCAATACCAAGAAAATACCGAAGTTCACCGAGGTCTTTAATGGAGAAACAAGACACAAGGTTGGAGATACATTGTTGCACGAGGTTGTTAGAGCTTCCCGTGATGAGCATGTCATCCACATAGACAAGAACATATACATGATCACTCCCAACTCGTTTGGTGAAGAGAGAGGTATCAGCGGTGCTGTTGACAAATCCAAGAGTGAGGAGATGTTTGCGTAGTTTTTGGTACCACGCTCGAGGAGCTTGGCGCAAGCCATAAAGAGCTTTTCGAAGACGGCATACGTAGTGTGGCTTATCTGAGTCGATGAAACCTTGTGGCTGAGCAACATAGACTTCATCGTGTAAGGTTCCTTGGAGAAAAGCATTGTTGACGTCCAGTTGACGGATAAGCCAAGATTTGTTCACTGCAACATGAAGGACCGATCTGATCGTTGTGGATTTGATGGCCGGACTGAATGTCTCACTGAAATCATGGCCTTGTTTTTGGTGAAACCCTTTGGCCACAAACCTTGCTTTGTACC